AGGTATTGCAGGTGAGTATCCATTTGTGCGCACAACCATCTAGCTTGGAGATGGCAAGCGCATTGCGCTGTGGTTTTGTTTGAAGCAAAGCCGAATCCATTCTATTTCATCTCGAAAGAGATTTCTCCATCGTGGCTTTCATAGACCTAAACAAAAAACATCAGCGATATCACGGTGGAAAATCCGTTACTCCAACGGCGTGCCTCACCAGTGTATTCTCAACGCCTCCAAGCAATTAATTAATGATTTCGGCCCTAACACCACCAGTTTTCTGATTTGATCAGGACTCACGATAGAATATAGTTTGTCAAGCTGGTTCGCTCTTACGGGAGTGAGATACATGTGCTGCCATCGCAGATTTACGGTCATTCCACGACTGCGTCGTAACCATAAGTACCACCAAGCTATCGTGCAATTTGTCTAGATAAAGCGTTGGCTTAGAGTCCGCGTTTACAAACGAACAGAGCTTGGACTCGCCACGAATGCGCCCGCTCGACTCTAAGGTATGGTTCAATCTGCTATTCAAGAATGCATATACCAAGAGTGGGTTATATCAAGTCTTGTACTAAATATGTACATTATGGATAAAAGATCTTTATTTATGGCGTGTGTCTAACAGCTGACGTGTACATCGAGCCTCTCCACTTTAAAAAAATATTGTAGTCATCACAAACTCCGGTATCATGATACTTATGACAACTCCAAATATATCAACTGATATGTGACTGTCGAACAATCGTACCGTATTTTATACAATTGTACTTAGCGTATACAAACAATGACAGTACTTGTCCCGTCAATCCTATCCTAGCCACTAACAAGTATAGTTTGCAGCAGAGTTGCTGCAGTTCCGGCATAAGGAAGCTTTATATATCAGAGTCGGCGCTTTTTATGTTATGACACTGTGCAACGGTGCTCACAACAAGATTCAACGCATAAATTATCCACCTCACCGGTCTGGTGCCGAAGCTAATGATGCTGTATTGGACAAGATGCCGACAAAAAATTTCTGGGATGTTTTGTTGGGGAGCAGGACCAGCGGGCCGATCCTGTGGAGTTAAATATTCTTGTAGATTAACCAGCGCCTTTCGCCCAAACGAACTTAAAGAAGTGGCTTGAGTTTGCCCAAGTAAAATGCAAAAACGTCGAATGTCTGTAAAAGGGGATCAAGTGGTGCTGAGGTGCTGCGAAACGGTCGACCCTTTTCACTGTGGAAGAATTTTTCGCGCATGCCCAATTCTGGCTCCTTTGAGACCCGATCGACCATTCCACGTCGTATGTTTTACTGTACCTTTTGCAAATGGATTAACAATAAACTAAGCAGATACCACAGTAACATGAATGCGTTTTTGCGTTTCGGTCCCACCAGCTCAAATTCGCTGAGAATACCTACCTCGTTGTGACAAGGGGCTACTCGCAAAAAAGTATGCCTCCAATATAGTTCAGCGTACACCTGCTTGCATCTAAGCTTTTTCGTCAAAATATACAGATCATACGTCACTGTGCACAGCAATATCATCACCACAACTCTGTCCGATACTGATAAAATGGGTTTTCCTCTTTGCCGATTATCCCTTTGAGGTAATTCTTAAGTCGGGTCGGCTGAATATGGTGGCCCGATAGGCTTTTGCGTCGCCCCAACAATGGATTCTTGCAATAGTAACGTCGCCAATTGGTGAGGTGACACGTACGGCGTACGGCTTGGAACAACATGTGCTGTGCTGCTGAAAGCTTAGTTATCAATAGCTCAAGATTCAGCTTTAAACTATGCGCGCTGCTGCACGCTTGTACGGCTGTGCCTATCTTAAGGCTTGCTGTATTACAGCATTGACCCACCTGGCACTCAGCGTGTAGTGGCGCCTAATGATTTAAACCTCAAGTGCATAATTTTTTTCGCCCCTTTTTAGTGGCCACTTTGAGAGTTAAAGGACAAATTGCTCGGCGAGCGGTATGTATTGGTGACCCATCATGCATACGTGTGCGACGTGTCACCGGGTAACATGCTCACCGCATGCGAGGGCAAAGTTGGCCAGTCAGATGGTTGCCGCAGAGTGATGCAAGTCCATAATTCTGATTTTTATCTCTGGCCTCTCAAACGACGCGTTTACCACAACTCATATTGTTGCCTTGTGGGCCGTCTGATCATGGGGCTGCTGTAGCTCTTATCTTAGAAAAAGCTTACTTAAGGTCACCGACCTTCATTCTATACTAGAATCAGTACAAATGTAGCGGGTCGCAATCTGCTACCTCCAAGAGTACCCAGAACCTTAACCGAAGCAAATGTTTTCTTGCGTTTATAACAAAAATGTATTTATCTGTTTATTTGCCTAAATCTAAAACCTTAGGTTAACATAATCAAATAGTAAGACCTAATTAATACGCATAAATTCTGGCAGTCACACCACGTAGTGCCTTCTCGTTACGATGTAGCCACACCATTGTGTGGTTACACCGACTTGTGGAATCAAATCTTTGTACGATCGCACCATCTTGTGTGACTCACCCTCTCATACCAGGGTATGTGTAATTTTGTTATACTCTCCCCCATCAAAATTTTGAATACCCATAATTCACATTTAATATCGCCTCGTACGAGGCTCGCGTGTCTGAAACACCGTTACGTTCCTAGGACCACCTTCACGCACTCTCTGCACAATGAGGGCGCCCGCGGGCAAGCCCTTCCTCGTCTCCTTCACGCGGTGCAACTCTGGACAGTACGTCCGCGGCTTCAGGTAAGCACATCTCAAACCCTCGGTAACCGGGCGCCGCACACACCCTTCTTCGTCCCCTGCACGCGTTGCAACTCCGGACAGT